AGCATGGTAGGCACCAAAGGAAATGTCCATAGACAAGGTCTTGAAAGAAAGCAGATTAATATCCTGGAAATATTCATGTCTAAACAAACTTGCGTATGCATTATAATAAAAAAATAAGCATTTAACTTAATGCTTAAGAGAACAGGTAGTATTAATGAAGCTTTCCTGATAATTCAAAATGAAGTGATCTTAATAATAATAATAATAATAATAATAATAATAATAAAGTTTGAAGGGACCATGGAGGTCATCTAGTCCAACCCCCTGCTCAGGCAGGAAACCCTATACCAGGGGTAGGCATAGCTGACTCAGGAATTCTGGGAGTTGAAGTCCATGAGTCATAAAAGAGCCGAGGTTGCCTACCCCTGCCCTATACCATTTCAGATCTTATGAAGCATTATGTCTTTGTTGCCTTTACTACTCAGTAACACAAAAATAATCTTTAGCAGATTCACTTTGGATATACAGATAGTTCTCATTTAGTGACTGCCTCTTCTAGCAACTGTTCCCAATTACAAGAGCGATGAAAAAACATTCTGTCCAATCCTCACATTTATGCTATTTGTGGGGTCTGTAAACAAAAGGAAAGGAGAATTAAGATCCTAAACACAATTGTGGTTTCACAATTAGAGACCACAATTAGAGACCACTTCACTTGACAGCCAAGTTGCCAGTACCAATTGTGGTTTTTACAAAAGGACTCCCTGTAAGGGAACAAGTGAAAGTACCCACGGCAGGACAACATTATGGACAAGCAGCCCCTTTACTCTTATTACCATGTGAGCAAGAAAACTGGTTTGGTTCAAATTTAAGAATTTGATACTATTTTCTAAACTCTAGTCTTAACACAGGTAAGAATACCTCCAACACACAAGAAGACATTGATCACCTCATTTAAATGTGGACCCAGTCCAAACTATCTCATTTTGTCAGATAGGAAGGGCAAAAGTTAAGCAAGCAGGTGACAGATCTGATTTCTTCATATATCTTGTTCATCTTCTTAAAACATACAAGTCGAAAAGAATTCACATGAATAGGACAAGTAGTTCCCAAGATTACTTCCTGTGATCTGCCGTAAAACCAGAGCCCAGATCAAGGGCATCCAATCACCTTTGCCTTCAAAGAACAATGAAAACCGAACTGCCCGTTCTAGCTGTCTTTCCCTGACATCCTTATGGAGGAAAGCACCACCAGTCTGTTGTATGCAGGCACAATAACAGCAGAGAAGAAAGCCCTCTTTGCAATATTACCACCGTGCACTAAGAATTCAGATGAGCTTCTGTTACAATGGTAAAGTGTTTCCAGACAAATCAGAATTAGTATTCTAATTTCAAATCTTGATTTTCAATCCTGGCTTCTTTCGCTCCTCGGTAATCCTTTTTCCTTACAATATTTCATACTTTAAAAAAAATATTTGTTTTAACCCTCCTGTTTTCTGTCTGCTATCACTTACAGTTCTGCGTCTACAATTTGGATCTACCTTGGGACTAAACTGGTCTCCCAATCTAGCTAAGTTTCTCATCAAGTGAAAAAGACCATGGTTACGCACATACAGATGAAGTGCCGATGCATATTTTCTTTTGCAATGATAATTTTTTTCAGGCTTTACTGTGTAACCCTGTACACTCTTGCTGATAAGGAGAAGAGTCAAAACATTCACGCTAACTAAACCATCCTCTTGTTTTCTACACAATTCCAGTATTACTTTTATAATAATAATCTGTATGCTACCCAACTCCCAATGACTGTGGGTGGCTCACGAGCAATAACATTAAAAACAAGAAAAAAATGCAATAAAGAAAGAACAGAGGAATAAAGAATGGCAAAGAAGACAAGATGTGGACAGGAACAAAAAAGAAACAAATCACACAATCCAAGGGTTTCAATCTCCTTGCCAAAGGCCTGGGCAAAGAGCCAGATCTTCAAGGCTCTTCCAAACACCAGCAGCTTAGGGACCATCTAGATCCTGGGGGAAGTCTCATTCCAGAAGGCAGGCACTGCTACAGAAAAGGAGTCCTGATAGATGGCAAATAAACCAGACATAGGCGGTATAACAATAACAAATAATTTCATTACATTTATTATAGCCACCCACTCCAGCAGATTCTGAAGACTTAAACCTTCTTTTAATTGTCAGAAGAACAATGCTTTCAGTGAATGTTTACTTTTATTATTTTTGAAAATGATTAAATAAGAAGTACCCAGTTGTTTTCCTCCAGACAACTTCTGTTTATTCTCCCAACTGGGAGTTTTCTTACAGCTGGTTTAAAGGCACCATTCCCTTCTCTCTGTGTAGGTAAAAAAATCACTGCTGTGATTGTTTTGATCTGACTCTATCTTGGTGCTGGAGTTGTATATGGTACTGAATGAATCCTTAACTAGCAAAGGTGCCAATATACCACCTCCTTGTTTCCCCTGCCTATGGGAGTCTTCTCTTTTGACAGCATCCTCTGCTAGTGTGAAACGTACACATCAGGATGATGTAACAAGGATGTTCAGAGCTGCTGTGTCTTCTCTGACACTGTATTTTGTATACCTTTCACTAGCACATATCCATCTGGGCTCCTCTTTCTTCCTCATTTTATCTTTAGAGATTCATAATTCTTAGGAAGAGCCTGCTGGAAGGCAAAAATGACTAGCTTGTATTCAGAAAAATGACTAAAATTGATAAAGAGTCTATGGACATTTGGAAACATTTCTCCCTTTTTGTGTTCCTCAATTCTGTATTCTTATGTATCCCTTTTCTGTGGTTTACTGCAGTGAATGCTGCATTTGCCTGCAGTAGAGCAATGGGATGAAGTGCAAGAGAAAGTAAAGGCAGTTGGAAGAACCAATGAGGTTTCATGCAACTCAGTATCTAATAGTTATAGTTTTACGAAGGTAAAGGAAGGAACAAAGAAAAAAACTGGGCTTGGTTTTACCTGATGGACAGACATCATCACTCAGAGATCACAGATCACCAGATGTTATGAGACAACATTAATTTTATATGCCTTGTTGCTCTGGTGGATTCAGTTGGTTTAGGCAGGAAAAACTAATTCAAATGCATGGTGATGACAGAAAACTTAAATTCTGGACCAGGACCTAAATGAAGTTTCATGTGAATGGAGAAGATCATCACGGCTGAGGCATATTGGTGCCAATTTAAATTGCAAGTGGGAAAAGAGTCATTGCTAAAGTAGCCCTCACGTGCTGTGCTTCTTGTTATGTCACCCACTACTTTTCATCACAAGAAATCCTAACAAAAGGCTTCTTGAAAATTCAAGTACACTAAGTGTCTTCAAAATCTTTTAGCTATTGTCTTAGTCCCCTTTTAGAATATTACAAGTTCACAGAAACTCTATTATGTGGACCCTGCTAAGTTGTGGCATACCGTGTTAACTGGGAGACAGTAGAGAGGCCTCAATTCATACAAAAATTTACTGGGCCCATTAAATGTTTGCCAAAATTTGTCAAGAGAATCTGTACAATAACTGTACCATTTGCGCGTATGTACACACATGTACACACACACACACACATCTATCTATCTATCTATCTATCTATCTATCTATCTATCTATCTATCTATCTATCTATCTATCTATCTATCTATCTATCTATCTCAATTGATACATACTGGTAATACATGCATACATAATACATGCATACATAAAACATACATACATGCACGCATACATACATACATACATACTAATCCAATGTTAAAAAGTACATGCTGGGAGACAAATATTTGGGACAATTCTGCATTGTTTCTGTTTAACAGATAAGACTATTTTTGATGCATTATTGAGCCAGTCCATACTGAGATTTCATTAAGTGTTCTGGACCATTTTTCAAATGGTCTCTAAAAGCTTTTGTCTGAAAGCAGATGAACAATACTCAACTTCTTAAACAAAACATGTCATGTCTCAAGACTAGCTGACATATAGTTCCTTCGCTCTGAAATATCTCAACTCTATAGCAGATAAGTGGGAAAAAATCCTGTACATGCATTCAAAACAAAGGTGATAGAAATGTTTTGATTACCCTTTTCTTTAAGGACAAACCTGCTTAACTGTATGGACAACAGCACTTGGAAAAAAAAGAATAAAATATGTATAATTGACTACCACTGTACTTTGGAGTAAGGTCAATTAATGCAGTGAGACTTATTTCTGGGTAAACTTCCTCTATAAATGTGTTGTTTAATAGAAAGGGGAACAGATTTTATGATGAATCAAAGTGTCGTGAGTTGCTATGTGGCTTATAATCCATCACCAGTCTAGTAATCAAAAAAATGTAGAGGAGATTCAGATGGCAATAATCCTAAATGACATCAGTTTCTGAAAACTCTGCTGGGCATCTGCACTTGGGGTTGTTTGTTTGTCTGGTACAAGGGGAGGGGAGGAATACACAACTATCTCATTTCTAAAGCCATCTTTACGATTCTGTCAGTAACTAACAAAACAGACAGAGCCAGGATATTTGGATTCTTCCTCTCCCCACCACCCCTGGCCCATTTTTGGTTTCTGGAAGGATTTTGGAAGTTTTCACTAAAATATATTAAGCCTATTCACAGATGATACTGTATTTCTCTGGGGTTCCCCCTCTTAAAATATGCCACTACCTTTTGGCAAATGTGATTAATGTGGCATTGGAGATCACAAAGAGGGGATTGGAAGCCCCATGTAGATTGGGAGTGTTAGGTTGCCCCCACTTATTTTCCAGGAGTTTTAGGTTGCCCTCACTTGTTTTAAAGAAGCAGACAGTTTTCTTCCTGCCAACCTAGCAGTTCAAAATTATGCAAATGCAACTAGACTAATAGGTACCACTTCGGCAGTGTTCTGGACATCTTTGGATATACTCATACTGGCCACATGACCACAAAAGTATCTTTGGACAGCGCTGGCTCTCTTGGCTAAGAAACAAAGGTGAATTGGACACAACTGGACAGGGGCAACTTTACCTTTAAATAGTTTTCTAGGATCAACTTACCACATGGCATGCATATAGGTTGGAGGTAGACGGGGGCTGCTGACAGGTGTGCAGTTATAAGACCTCATTATTCTTTCTGCCAGCAAAAAGTTTCGAAAGAGGCTTGCTACTAGAAGATCCTGTCGGAAGAGCTTTTGGAAAAGATCTGCAAAAACAAAACAAAAAACTCACAAAAGATGTACCAAAAGAAAGCATCCACGAAGAATGTGGCTGCTGCTGGTGGAATTAGAACATTCCACCAAGAACTACTGTAAAATTATTTATCTATTCAATAAATATATAGCCACCCATATCACGTTTGTGACTCTGGGTAGCTTACAGTCAAAACATAAAGTGGTTTATGGTGTAACATGTGCAGATCTAGATGCACACGTAATTCCCTTTGTCACTGCATTTTGCATTAATTTAAACCTCTGAATGTGCTTCAAGGGCAGCCCCATAAAGAGCGTATTACAGTAATTCATACGGGGCATGAGTAACTAAGTGTAGAGTTTCCTGATTCAGTAACGGATATAAGTGGCATACAACCTGGGCCTTCTAGCTACAACCGCCACCTGCTCTTTGAGCAGGAATTATGCGTCCAGAAAGACCCCAAATTTCCCACCTGGTTTGTTTGGGGAAGAGCAACCCCATCCTGAACCAAAGTTGGTAAATTCCTAGATCCAGGTGACCCCAAAACCCAAAGTCACTTAGTCTTGCCTGGGTTCCTGTTCTTCCCCATCCAAACCCCTACTGCCTTCAATCTCTCACCAGAGGTTATCAAAAAGCACGGCCAATGCTACTTCAATCTTATACCCAGACATGAAACCTAACTGAAAGAAGTCTAGATTTAATCCAGGACCCACTGAAGCTGTTGCATGACCACATTCTCAACAATCTTCCCTAAAAAAGAGAAGATTGGATATTGGATGAAAATTGTCCATAATGGTTGGGTATAGCAATGACTTTTTGAGGAGAGGCAAGATCAATGCCTCTTTAAAGGTTACTGGTACCACTCCTTTTCTCAGAGATGAATTTATTGCTGCTAAGACCCAACCGCATGTCACCTCCATGGAAGCTTTCACCAAGCAGGAAGGGTTTGGGGTCTAATAAACTCAGGTGGCTGAGCTCATAGTCTTAAGAACAGGGTCTGCTTCCTTGGGCCCAACAGGTTCAAATCCTTCCAGATAACATGGCAAGAGTGTCTCTGGCATGTCCACAGGACCTGCACCAAGGCTGGCATCCAGCTGGGAATGAATCCGAGCAATTTTGTCTGACAGATGTTCTGCAAACTCCTCTGTTATATACTAACTTTTAAATACATCAACATATTTACAACGTATTTACAAAACTCAAGTTAACTGAGTTTTCAATTAAGACATTTCCCCCCAAATTTTCTACTTCTGGAAAGTACTACAGAAGTAAGGTAATTCAAACTCTGGTGGTAATACATATGTAAGCTGCAGTCACTCTCAAACAATGAGATATCCCCCCCCCCCAATGCATATGAACTTCTTAAAGTGCCTTTGTAAGAAAGCATTTACAGCAAGCTGCATTGACTCTGAATGGCAACAGGAGAAGAATCAATGAGGAACCAGTAAATCAAATTGTTTATATTCATTGATCGTATTTCCAAAGTAAAATGGCTAACATGCTGACCTAGTAGGAAGAAATAAATGACGAGAAGGAATAAATAATAAGGTGGCCCAGATCCCAAATGGATTTATCGCAATCCTTCTAATGTCATGCTATAATTGACAGTGTCTGCCTTTTCCTTTGTCTTGCTTTTGCAGTGTAGTAGGCCCAAGATATATAAAGTCTGGTTATGCTTTTGCTCAACAAAATGCCAATGCTTTACTGGGAGCCTGATATATACTGTACTATGGCATGCATGAGAAATAAAATTATGTTGTATCTTCAAAGTGAGATGGTTGCTTTAAGGGGCCACAACAAAGCATATCTATTGAACGCTTTTCCATCATATGCCATGCAATGTCCTAAACTCCTTGGGTGAGTACATCTTAAAGAAAACAGAACTATCATTTCTGTGGGAATGAAAGATGGAGACCAAACATGATGATTCAGAGCTTCTGATGCTGAAAAAGAATAAGATTTGGCTCAGCCCTATTTTCTCTAGCCCAATAAGTTTTTTTCCTCTTTCTCTCTCTCTTTTTTTAATTTCTGGGTTCTCACTGTATCCTGTTCTCCCTTCTAATTAGAAATTAGTTTTCTACTCCTGCCCTCTTCTATTATGATCAAGCTATATATATTACCGGTAGTTCTGTGGACTTATCTGTCATAGTCTTACCTCTGGGTAGGACGTTCCATGCAATTGTATCCGTAATGGCTGTAAAAATCCAATTCAATTCTCCTAGAGGCGTTCTCCTGTCATTGAGCCTCCCAGGAATTCTACAAGAAATAATGAAATTTTATCATTAAGCAGAAACACACTGAAACAATGTTCATAATGGCAAAAAATACCTAACCAACAAAAATATAAGCTCTTACTCTTCTAAGTAATAAAGGATAAAAAGGAAGTATTTCTTGGTTGTACTGGTTTTTACTGGAATAAAAGGCTCAAATATTGAGTTTCATCAAGTATATAAAAATACCAGACAACAATAAAGCCCTTGCATAATTCAGGGTAAGTGCTAATAAGCAAACAGGGGAATACTTTTACGGTTTTTTTTCCTCCTAACATTATAGTAAGGATGAACTACATGCTAAATCACTGATTATATTGACTAATAAACTGTTGAATCTTCTTGAAAATGAGCAACTTGGGAAGTAAGGAAATACTGAATAAATTGTATAATGAGGCTTTTGCATTTTAGAATGCAAAATATAGAAAAATCTGTATCACTAATCTAAAAACCAACCTCATATGGAGTATAGCAATTAAAGCTTGTAATATAAACCCATTCTTCCAATTTTCTAGTTATGAGGATATTAGAAAAAGAAACATAATATTTTCTTCAGAAGCAAAATTTCATTTAAATAGAAAACATTAAAATTGTGGTTTGAATACAGCAAAGAAACCATTCATTTTGTGGCACAGGTAACATTTGGCTGCCTCAGAATCAGACCGGAACAACAGGGTGATTTAGAAATTGCACCTCACTTCACGGGAAGCCATTAATGTGTGCCCTCTTTCCCTCAAATTTCAGTGGGTCTTTATTTCATATAGTTGAAAAATGAGTGTCACTAATCAGTTGCCAGTATGATGGCTTCCAAAGTAATTGCTGTTAACCTATACTGTTCACATGAGGCTTGGCAGAAACTGAATCAACACAGATTCAGACCTGAGAATTTGGGGTAGGAAATCAGTTCACGTCTACGAACATTAAAATATTTACCCGCTCTCGTCAGTTATATAAAATTGAAAATGGTTTATGTCATGTTTCTTGGCTGATAAAGCCAGCAGTCATTCTGCAGTTACGGTGCTCAAGATTAGATGGAATATATTCATTAATAGGACCTCCAACTCAGTGCTTTAAAAATATGCATTCTAAGCAAGTCACTTCTATATGTCAAAAAGCATATGTTCTCTGCAAATCACTTCTACATGTCACCTTCAAGTGGATGGAAGATCCCTGCCTCTACTGAGAGAGAAAAATAGTAATTAGTCTTATTCTGCCCAAGAGGAAACAATAGAGTTCCTCCTCAATTTACAATCACAATTTACCAGTGGTCATTAAGCGATACGGCTTGTGATTTCCCATGGGACTACTTCACTCAATGACTGCAATTCTGGCAGTTGGGATTGAGGTTAAGTGAACATAGTTCCAGATAAGGAGCATGGGATGTCTTGGGGGCGGGGGAGATCCTGGGAGACTCCACTCAGGAGCTGAAAATTCTCCCTATCAAAATCCATGGGCATTCCATAGCTGCTGTCACTCCCTAAGGCACCCCTTTCCTTATTATGCTGCCTCTCTGCTCAGGAGCTGAAAATCCTTCCTGCTAAAATCCAAGCTGGATTTTCAGCCTCTGAGCAAAGAGATTCTTACGCACAGCCCGTGCTGGGCTTTTCCCAGCTGCCTTAACTTATTGTACTGACTCTTCACTTTCTCTTTGGATTTCAGTTCCTTTTCAGGTCTGAGGGCACTCCTTCAGTGGGATGCAGAAACAGAATTCAAATCTTCAGGATTTGAGCTTCATTTCTGCATGCCATCAAAGAAGTTCAACTTGCGTCAATACATGGAAAGGAATTAATATTAAAAACAATTAGCAACTAAAATCTACTCAGTGCAACTGCCAGGAGAGCCCAGCTATTCAAGAATAGGACAGCCATTTTATGGGCTCCACATCACTCTTTGATCCCCAGGCCAGAAGCAAAGCCAGGTATTCAGGACTTTCCAGAAGGCTGTCAAGGTTAGGGCCCAGCCTGACTTCAGGGTGGAGGGGAAGTGATGTTCCCTATGGTGGGTACATCAGAAGAACAGGCCTTCCTCCTGTGTATGCACGATGACATTACCTAGTGGATGTAAGCTGGAATAAACCTCTTCTGTTGGATTTCATAGGATGAGTAGATGTCATTGGGAAGAGGTTATCCATCAAATAACCCAGCCGCCTGCCACATGGGGCTTCATAAATAAATAAACCAGGCCCTTATATTGGACCCGAAGCAAATTAACAGAATTAGTAGCAGAAATGTAATGCATATCAATGATTTTGAATACCTGCACCATGCATTTTGCATTGAAACTTCCAAATGCTCTCCAAGGGCAGCTCCATGTAGAGAGCATTAGAGTAATCCATATGGGAGATGACTGGGGCATGAGTGATTGAGCATAGAGCCTCATGATCCAGGATTGGCAGGCAACCCGAAGCTATGTGAAGGGCCTTCTAGCCACAACTGCCACCTTCTCTTTGAGTAAAAATTGTGACTCCAGAAAGATCCTTAGATGGCCCACTAGATATATCTGAAGAAGTACAGTCATATCCAAAACTAAAGATTGTAAATTCCTAGATCCAGGTGGCCCTCAAACCCAAAGCCACTAAGTCTTGCCAGGGTTGAGCTAAAGCCTCTTGTTCCCATTACGCCCCCCCCAGGTTCCAAACACAGAAAAAGGAGGTTGGCAGCATTGCTTAGTTAACTATGGGAGCAGATATACAGCATATATAATGGATGATCTCATCCAGCGGTTCATGTAGATGTTAAACCTTCCAAGACCGAGTGGCTGTGGTTGCCGGCGCCCCGGCATAGTCAGCTGATTCCATCGCTGTCTATAGGGGGCGAAACTTTGGCCCCCTCAGAGAGGGCGCGCAACTTGGGTGTCCTCCTGGATCCACGGCTGACACTGGAAGATCATTTGTCGGCCGTGACCAGGGGGGCGTTTTATCAGGTTCGCCTGGTTTACC